GATATATGTAACCGGTTAGTTGCCAACTATAGTTGGCAACTAACCAGTTGGTAAAATTTTAACAATTTGGAACACTAATTGCATCATTAGAAAGTGCAATTAAAGACTTGGTTAAATCATCTATGATATCCTTTGCCCTAGAGGAAAAAGATTTTTCTAAAGAGGAAGACATGGCAACAGACAAGGCCTCTGACTCTTCAGATTTTGTCTACATACAATCTCCAGAACTAAACTCCAAGAGTCCCAGGAACTAATTGTTCCAAGGAATGAGCTTACACTAAATAATCTCGTTCAAGCTTATAAGAATCAAAAAATCCTTCAAGTCCTATAACAACAAAACAATGGAAGCTGATAAAGAGGGCTTTATTCTGGTGTTAAATAAGAAGAAACAAAAAAAGACCATTAACAACAAAGTTAGACAAGTTCACATAAAAGCTTCTCCATACAAAAGGGCTAGAGAGGGGGCATTCATCCCCACTTAATTAAAATAGTTTTTTTATGACAGTAAACAAAAAAGTTTACATAGCAACCCTTAATGTAAAAGGGTTAAACAATCAAGAAAAACAATAGAAAACTTTAACTTTACTGAAATCATATAAATTAGACATAATTCTTTTGCAAGAAACAAATACAAAAAACCAGAACACAAAGGACTTCCTTAAAAGACAATAGCCATTCGACTCAGTTTGGGCTGATAAAATGGCTATATTAGCTAGCAAGAAAGACATAAAACTTTCAAACCCTCAAATATCCCATGAAGGGAAAGTCATATCAACAAAAATTGCTTATAAGAATCACCTCTTCCAAGTCACTAATATTTATGCTCCTTCAAATAGTAAGGACAGAAGAGAATTCTTCGAAAGGTGAACACCACTTTATAATGAAGAATCAATAAACATATTAGGTGAAGACTTTAACACCAATATAAACTCTGAGATAAACTGAGTTAGTCAAGCATCAGCACAATTAGATACAACACGCATACAACTTAAAAGACTCACTAACAGTTTTGTTGATTTAGCATCTTTTGAAGAGAACAACCCTTTCCTAACTTTCTTCCAGAATATACAGAACAACCAAACTATGACAACCAGATTAGCTATATCTTCATTGATGAAAATTACATCTCACTGGTAGAAAAAACAGAAACATTATTTGGCAACTCAGATTACTTGATAGTCAAATACACCTTAAATCTTAATAACAAACCAAAGAGTCCAACATCTTGGAGATTTGACAAACACTGTCTCAAATATAAACTCATAGAAAAAGAGATCATAGCAGAAATTCAATCCTTTAACTCGGTAGCAGACTTGAATTGGCATTTAATCAATCATAAGAGCTTGCAGAAAGCCCAAAGCCCCAGAAAGCAGTCTGGCTCTTCTAAATAGGAAAATAAACAAATCAAAAGAAAAACTAGCAAGGGACCCAAGTCAAACACATCTACATACAATGGTTAATAACTTAAATCTCCAAATTCAGAATAAACTGCTACAACTAGCAAACAGATAGCAAACACACTCCAAGGCTAGTTGGGTAGAGCAGAGAGAAAAGTTGACAAGATATTTTTTCTCAAGATATAAGTCCAGAACTAGTTGCTCAGTGCTCAAAGACATCAGAGACCATGAAGTTCCACAATGATCAAATCCTGCAATATATCAAAGAACAATATACAAAGCTTTACAAGGAGGAAAGTATCGATTTAGATGCAGCAACAACTTTAACAAATGACCTTTCTTCTATTTCATCCTCAGAAAATGCAGAACTTTCAAGGGAAATTACACAAGAAGAAATAGTTGAGACGATTAGAAAACTTCCAAATAACAAATCTCCTGGGCTGGATTGCCTTACATACGAGTTCTATAAACAAACTGAAAATGACATTGTCCCTGTTTTGGAAACAGTCTATAATCACGTCTTAATTCAGGCCTTTTGCCCAAATCATGGCATAAAAACTTAATTACTCTCATATCAAAGAAATCAACAGATCTAAAGGACATTGACAACTAGAGACCAATCTCTCTGGTAAACTGTAATGCCAAGATTTTCATGAAGATTATAGTCACTAGATTAAATAAAATTTGCAGCCTAATAATCCTGGCTCACCAACAGGGTTTCGTTTCGGGGAAGATCAATAACAAAAGCAGCATTGAATTGCTTACAATAATGAGAAATCAGACTGACCTTACCAAGCAATATTGGCTTTTACTAGTGGACCAACAAAAAGCTTTTGACCGCATTGATCATACCTTCCTACAATTAGTTCTTGAGAAAATGAATTTTAATCTGAAATTCGGAAATTTGGTCGAGAACCTCTTCACTAACCAAGAGGCTTATATATTTGAATCAGGCTCTTTATCAGAACCTTTCAGAATAGAAAGAGGGCCATGCAATTAACAAAAACATACAAGGCATATCATCATACAATCAGACATTCAAATCAATAGCCTATGCAGATGATTGGCTTGAAATATGAAGGTTGTTTGACTTATATGAAAAGGCCTCGAGTGCAAAGATTAATAACCAAAAGATGAAAATTGTACTACTTACAATAATGGCAAGAAGAGTTAATCTCCCAGACATAATTGATTTTAAGGTCATAGAAAAGATGGACACCTTCAAGCTACTAGAATATGAAATCTATGCAAATGGACAACCAAAGAAAGACTTATAGTCCTCTACAATTACCAAACTTAAGAATACACTTTCCAATCTAGCAACAAGAAATCTTTCTTCAAGGGTAGAATATTAATTGCAAAGTCTCTAATACTCTTCCGTATTTGGTACACAGCCTACATTCTCCCTCCAAGGAAAAAACAAATATCAGAAATAAACAATCTGATGACTCTTTGGATCAAGGGTAATTCCAAGATACTCCCAAGATACGCAACCTATTAGCTCTCTTATGAAAAAGGTGGTCTTCAAACTCCAATAGTTGGGAATATGCTAGAGGCCAGGATAATCACAACATGGCTAAAGCTGTTAACAGGGGATACTATATAGGCAAAGATAGAAAGATCAAGGATTACACAATCCTTAAGCGATAAAAGAAATACTACAGTATTACAAGTCTTCACTGAAAATCCAATAAGATCCAAAGCTTGGCCTTTGGAATGGAAACCTTTTGTACTAGCCTGGAATAAAGTGGGGGCTCAGTCTCCCCAGGGAGAATATATACATGAAAGGAAAAAGAAGTAGCGATCTTCGGTGAGGGATTTCTCTGGCACAATTTCTCCAGCCTTTATACTCAAAGAAAATACTCCAATAGACTGGATTACCTGTAGAGGTATTGATAATAAAAAGAGAGATATTATATGGAGACTCGCCCATAAGGCCTTGCCACTGGGATACAGGCTTCAATGGATATCTCAGTCGGAGTCAGGAACCTGTCCTTGGTGTGAGGATAGCATACAGACCCCAGAACATTTTGCTGTAGAATGTAGAATAAGTAAGTCAATCTGGACAGAAGTCTACAAGTTTTTGAAAATACAAGACAACCCAACAATACTAAATTCTATAGAGAACATATATACAAAAAGAAATATTTCTCAAAAAAGGTTCTATACAACAGTTCAGTGGCTGAATATAACGGTAGTCTACGAAATTTGGTGCTAGTATACCAATACCAAATAGGGGACAATGTTAGATCAGAAATTTCTATCCCAGCAATTATTAGTAGTAGGGTCTCAAGAGAAATCAAGGCTTTGAACTTTAATTCCTCTATTAACCGAACAAATAGAAAAATATATAAATATTTAATATGTAAATAGAAAATTAATTATTAATATATTACAATAAAAAGACACCACCAGCATTCCAGCCACTTTTGTTAGGCTGGAAAATTAAAAAAAAAGATTAATTGAAATGCTTATAAATAAATAGATTTAAGTTAATCATATAATTTTATATTAATCTAAATAATTTTAAAACAATTTACATATATTTAAAACTATTTGCATTTTTATAATAAGCCAAAGTTCCACTCGGTTCAATTTTAAGGCTGTCGACTTTGTCATAGAAGCTTTTGCCTTCTTTGTGGTTAACTTCTTTTCAGATTTCTTAGCAGATCTCTTTGAGGTAAGATTAAGACCTGCAAATTTATCTAAAATAATTTAAAAATTTTTAGTAATTTGTTTATTATAATATAAAAAGGAAAAATAAATACATCGCACTATGCGATGTGCTAATTTATTGCATGTATATTTAAATTATAATTTGTAGATCTGTATAACAACAAATTTATATACGCCAAAAAATTAATACTAGATTG